CCACAGGCAGGAGCTGTTTTGATTCAAGAGGGCTATGAAAGGTGCAAAAGTTGAGACATGGCCTTTGGAAGCTTGTATGAAAACAGACCAGCCAGCTTGTTCCTGGGGAACACAGACCTCTACTTGCTGATTCTTAGTCTCACAGTTAAAATATAATAATAATGAAAATTTTAATAAATAAATAAAACACATTCGAAAGGAAGTTCTAATTAAATTGTAGTATAGTATGGAGAACAGCAGTGTGGGAAGGCTGTGAAGAATCTGCCCCAGGAAGGGAAATGGACAAGAAGAAGAGAGACAGTCAGGCATTTTGTGGTCCAGATAAATCTGCATGCACTTACATTCTTAGGGAGAGTAAGAGCATCATGAGCACCAAGGCACTGAGGTTCGGGCTTTGGCTAGTATCCAACCAAACAAGGAAGCTATAAAATGTGAAAGGAGAAGTATTGCTTTTCAAGGTAGAACTCAAAAAGCTTTCTCATTGAAATGAATATCTGCAAGTGTTAGACCCCCGGAAAAACTCAGGTCTCCGGGGTCCCAGGCCACGACCGAGGTCACCCCAAACACCAGGCAGATTCGAGAGCTTGATGCAAACTGCATGAGGCTTTATTGTTTTTTAATGAGCTAACCCCAGGTTAGCGCGGTTCTTTCACCCACCCGCCATGGCGGATGGCTAGCAAAGACAGCTTGAACCGGCTGCCAAGCGATCTTTAGGGCAGCATAAGGGGAGTGTCTAGGGGTACGCACAGGCTCAGGATTGGTGTGCCTCCAGACTTGGTGGGCTTGCCCTGTGTTGATTGGTCAACTGGTTGTTTTGGCCCATAGGCCCTCCCAGGGTGGTTGCTATGCTCTGCGCATCATTGCTGTGTGCTTGTCCGTAAAGTATACCCAGAGTCATAAAGCATAGCGCCACCAGCTAACTTCTGATTGGTTCCTTGTCAGGCACCTAACCTCTAGTGACTAAGGCAAGGTCATAGCGAGCACGTGTTCCTGTCATGGCTGCAGAAATGGGGGGTGCTGGTCCCCTCACAAGGAACTAGGAAGGGCTCTCTGGTGTGTACAAGTCCACACTTGGTAAGGAGACAGTTACTCCTCCTTGACATGCCTTCTAGTGAATCAGCTCTCTGGAAGGGTAGCCCCTGACAGTTTATTGTAATCTATAATTTGTGGTCTTTCTGAATGTCATGTCTCCATCAGGACCAAGAGATGAGTCATATCTCATTTTTTCGACCAAAACTTGTACATCATAGATTTGTTTGTTATTTTTGTTTTGTTTTGTTTTGTTTTTCAAGACATGGTTTCTCTGTGTACCCTGGCTGTCCTGGAACTCACTCTATAGACCAAGCTGACCTGGAACTCAGGATCTGCCTATCTGCCTACCCATAGCTGGGATTAAAGGTGTGCCACCATCTCCTGGTTAGATGGATTTTAAAACTTAAAGAAAATTTAAATTTGTATAATAGCTTTGCTTTATCAGGGTGAGATAGCTTTCCCTTAAGACCTTTGTTGGACTCAACAAAGCCCTAGTACCTCCACCCTTTCTAATGGTATTTTAAATCTTTAGGCAGGCATTTTTGGTGCTTCTTTCTGCCTTTCCTGTAGCATTATGAATTCTAAGATGAGCAATTATGATACTTCTTCATTCATTAATCGGTGTGTTTTAAAGGAAATGAGAGGAGGGGTCCAATGCTGATTGTGAGGTCGGGTCATCTTCAGTGGCCCTCATCCCTGCTAATTGTCTGACCAGCTACCTGCCAATACTTATTTGTCGCTTTATTTTATTTTATTTTTTGTTTTTTTTTTTAGACAGGGTTTCTCTGAGGCTTTGGAGGTTGTCCTGGAACTAGCTCTTGTAGACCTGGCTGGTCTCAAACTCACAGAGCTCCACCTGCCTGTACCTCCTGAGTGCTGGGATTAAAGGCATGATCCACCACCATCCAACTTTATTTTAGTTTTAATTGACAAATAATAATGATCCATATATGGGTTATAAAGTAATGAGTTAATACATATGTACTAAATAAAATGATTAAATCATACTAAATACCACATCTATCACCCTCCAAAAATTTATTCAGACAGGAAAAATAAATTTCAGTGATCTATTGCCCAGAATTGTGACTATAGAAAATAATAATAAACTGTATGTCTTCAAATTGTTAGATGAGTAGATTCTAAATGTAAAATGTAACACTTATTTTTTAAGAATATTTTAAAAATTTATTATCATGACAGGGGGTACATGCCGTAGGACAAATGTGGAGGTCAAGCAACAAATTTTTGGAGTCAATTATTTCCATTGTGGGGGGTGGTCTTGGGTAGGCAGGGGCACTTTATGTCATGTGGTACAGTTTTTCATGTCATTTGCACAGTGTGGGCTTTCTTTCAGAACTTTTACATGCAACTTTGTGTTCACAAGCCCTATTGGTTTTAGCTTTCACTAAAAGCTAAATACAAAAGAAGTTACCTTCAGACACTCCTGAATGCCTCTGCATCTGTGCCAGTGTCTCCAACCTGTTCGAGCCAGCCTTGGTGCTTGGCATGAAGGGAGGGAATACCTTTCCAGCTGTTCTTCTTGCCTACGGTTTTTATTTCCACACAAGCTAATGTTGTGAGCTTTGGGCAAGGCTTCCCTGACCTCTTTCTCTGCCCTCGTCTTCATCCTCAAGAGTTAGATGTGTTTAAAGTGTTCCATCAGTGGGAAGGAACCCAATTATGAGGAGCACTGTGGAACCATTTGATGATATAAGATGTTAGTCCCTGCACCCGGGAGGCAGAGGCAGGTGGATCTCTGTGATCTTCGAGACCAGCCTGGTCTACAGGAGCTAGTTCCAGGACAACCTCCAAAGCCACAGAGAAACCCTGTCTTAAAAAAAGAAATCAAGCATATAAATACCCTGTGTCTATGGAAAGGTTTAACATAACCCAATGATATCTAAAAGCAGATTTCTTACTTACAGATTCCTTACTTATGGTTTTAATATCCATGGGATGTATACTTCCAAGTCCTCCCCTTCATTATAATCAACCAAGGATAATGAGCCACTGTGAATATTGTAGTTGATAAATACAATATGGATATATGGCATTTTAGGTATTTAGTGTTTAGCAGAAAAATTACAATAGCTGTGATTCCAAGAGCACTAGATAAGATCTGATAGAAGAAAATAAATCTGTGGGGGACAACATTTCATTCCCCTGTCATGAACCTGTAGATGCATTCCCCTTAAAAACATGATGAGGACCTTTACCTTCCATAAAACCTGGTCTGGTTAGCACAGATTGTGTGTGTCATCCTCAGAAATAGCTGACATGGTGCATGCTTCTCTCTGCTTGTTATATAAATATTCCATATGCGTGTTTGTCATTTACCTTCATAGGACTATGGGCATTTTTTTCAGGAAAGGAAGTATACTTATGATATAATAGAGAGATCCTAAAACACAGTGTTTTAGGATCATTTGATGCCTTGGAAACATTCTTTTGGGAGTAAAATTGTGATATTGTAAATTTTAGAGTTTCTCAAATATAGCTATTAAAATGGGTAATAAATGAATGAGGTTAAGTGGATTTCATAAACTTTAATGAGACTTATTTTTATCTCTAATAAAATTCAAAAGTTGACCTAGCAAATGTCACTCATTGCATGATAACCCCTTCCTAGATATTCAGGAAGTTCCTTTCAGCCCTGTAATTACAGACTTGGGGGCCTAACGACTGCATTATCCTTGCTTGTTTCCTAGGGAACAAGTGTTCATGCAAAAGAAACAAAGCAGCCCATATGAGCACTGTGCCTTTTAAAGTGTGTTGGCCTGTTCACTATTTTTACCAATGACTGGGTTGAATGAGGACATAGTCATGTTTTTATCTTAACTCTGGGATGGATGATTCAAAGCTTAGAAACAATAGTGAATGTGTGGGATGCCCAAGTTGGTAAAGGTTCCCGATAGACCACTGTGTGTAAGAAGCAATGTGAGTAATAGCACTCCAGTTCAGGAAGACATTACCAGCTAGCTGATATAATCTTTAGTTTACATTACTATAAATGTTTTCTAAATTGGAGAGGAAATAGTACCACTTTGCTGTGCACAGATTGGACACAAGTGGATGATTTCCCTAAATGGACTTTTAAGATGTGTCTCAGGAAGTGTGTGTCATGGAGAATAAGAGGACATGAAACCACAGGATGTGTTTAATGGATAAGTAAAAATTCTTAGGGAACATGATAGAAATTTTAGACATGTAGATATTTTACAAAAAATAATTGAGTTATATTCAATTGGGGGAGGAGGCCCAATGTGAGCAGACAAATGCAAAGAAATAATTTATCAATATCAGAACTCTTCCAAACAAATTGCATGGACTAACTCAATGTACAAAACCCACCATATTAAGCTAAAGGCCATGGTGAGTACTTAATACATCATTACTCAAATGCTAAAATCTAGTACCTCCTTTTCTTAGCATTTCATTACATATGACCTCACTGGAATATGGTTAATGTTCTGTTACTGGACGCTGGAAATGGACATTTAGCACAATCCCCTATTTTCTAGGAAAAGCCAATGAGAAGATGGCATGTGTATATGTGTATAATGTGTAATGCAGGACATTTCACTGGAGCATAAATGTTGTAAACCCCTTGATCTTCATAAAGGATGTAATTGAGCAATTATAATCAGAGAAATGAGTATGGTGTAGATGTCACCATAACATAGACCACCTACAGTATAAGAAACATTCAGTTTTCCTTTTCAACAAACTAAATCCTAAATATAGTTGGAATAAAGATATTCTTTTGCTGGAATCTCAAAAAATGAGTCACCAAATCTAAAGGAAAGAAAATGTAAATTTCTTACAGGGGGGAAAAACCCTTGTGGTTTTACATTTAACATACCTTTACTACAGGACTATAAAGCAAACCTTCACTTTGTATTTTACATAATTCAATAATACTTATATGTATACTCACGTGTATTTTATTTTCTGCTTATTTTTAGGGCACTTTGAACCCCTATTGTGTGTTGTGGGATGACTCAAAATCGTAAGTGGCCGATATTTTGTGATATTACACTATGATAAATATTCAAAGTACATTAAATTATTCTAGCTATCTGCTAGTGAGCTGAAGTATAATCCAGTGGGATGTGTGTTTTACTGTGAAGACACTCTCCCTTTTCAGTCTGCAGGGCAGCATGATGAATGGGTTTTCATGATGATGATACATACCATCAGTTACTTCTCCTGATAGGACTGTATAATGTGTAAGGTGTATTAGGATGCAAATGCCAGGGAGATATTTTTTAAAAGCTCTGATGTTTTAGAAGTATAAAAACTCAAATGTTTCCACATCATGCCTTAGTAATCCAGGTTAGAATTATAGCAGAAAACAGCAATATCTCTGGCCATTTAGTAAAACATGCATGACAAGCTGTCTGTTATCAGAATAATAGGAAATTCATGTGGGCATTTCTAAGTGTACTGTTACTAAATGGAGTGATATTTATAAATATCTATTCACTTATTTTATGAATTCATGCAGACAAAAGAAAGTTGTGGCACAAAATAAACATGAGTGGTTCTTCCTTGTTTTCTTATTGTTACTTTTATAATTTATTGCAGTGTCGGGTTAAGCTCACCATCAGTGCAATGATAACTCTGGAGTTTGATGGGAAAAGATTAAAAAATACAAAGTCAATACTTTGACTCATGTGTATTCCAAACTTTTTGTTTTTCTTTGCTTCATTTTGTCTTGTTGAATGGGGGCTTAATAAATGTCAAATGAATCCCACAGATAATATTGCCAGATGTGTGTTCTTGAATATTTTCTCAGTGCCAATTCATTCTAAAAATGATCTATCTTTGTGATTTTTATGATGTTACAGTCTCTCACTGGTGAGTCTAAAGGGGGATGTTGTTAGAATTCTAGGAATCGTAATTATATTCAATCCTAGAGTACTTGATGAAATTTTTAAATTGGTGTTTTCATGAGAACAAAGAAGTCAGTAATATTAATTATTTGGGGCATAATTTCTGATACCTTAGGGGTTTTCTTCTTGGGGCCCTAGGACCATAAGGAGAAACCAAAATCACTTTGGTGACAACTTGGGCTGAATGCTCTGATACCTGCCATTGGTGATTTCATTTTGAAAATCTTTTTGAGAAATTTATGGTTGTAAGATTTTCCCAAACTTTAATGCCTGGGAAACTGCTAGAGAAAATGTTGGTTATGTATTATAAAGAGCATCTTGGAATGTTTTGTGGCCAAGTGAAGGCTCAAAGGCTATAACAATCTAAATGCTTTTTGCTGAAGAAAAATACAAGGTATGTTAATTTTTTATAGTTGCTATTTGTGTATGTCTATGAGTAATAAGCAGTTTGATTTAGTTTTTAAAAACTTCTTTCCTGAGTTTAATATATTTCTGTATTAATGCCAAGAACCTGATAATTAAAAAAAAACCTCATTAAGACTACTAAAGTGACACTCCAACATGACAAGGAGCATCAATATAAAAGAGATGATATCTGCTTTTAGCTTCCTTTCAGAAAGCAGATGTTAGTTTTAATTTATCAAACTGTTGGTGTCTGAGGTCAGTGTTAACCTCAGAAATCAATCACACTCTATTTTCTCATCATCTGCTTGTGAGTTGACCCATCTCAAAGAACACCAGTAGCTTAACAAAATTAAGCATCAGGTGGTCCTTGAGAAAAACGGTAGAAGAGGAGAGAGATGTTTCCTTGCATCACAAAACGGATCCTCTCAGGAGTTCAGTATACTTCTCACTTACTTCCCTGACAAATTCTATAAAGCATTAAAAAGTTTTCCCCTATGGCAGAATTTATCTTACCACACTTTTTACTGCAGTGTTTTCTTGCTAAAATCCTTTCCTGGGTGAGTTTTCAACAGTGAAGAGCAAGGTATTTCTGTACCTTCTTTTCACATTTATTCAGTCTTAATTGTACTTCATGTTAAAATGTACAATGATTTTAGTGACCCAATGATTAAATTTGAAGATGAAATTTCTAAAGAAAGTTAATAGTAAATAGATAACGGTATTTCTTTCTATACGGAAAAGAGCTGACATTAAAAACTGATTATTTGTTTGTGTCTGTGTGTGAGACAAGGTCTCACTCTGTATCCCTGGCCACCAGGAACTGATTGTGTAGACCACACTGCTATCAAACTCACACATATCCTCCTGCCTTTGCCTCCCAAATGCAGGGAGTATTTAACAATGCCCACTTTAAATGATAATTTTATGATTATATTGATGAGTTAAAATTATAAAATGTGTTTTGATTTTGGTTTATCAAGTAAATCTCCACCTTTTAAATTTCTTTAAATTATATTTAATTACAAAACCAGTGTGTAATTGTATATTACTTGCACAACTTTAAAACAAGCTGCTAAGGTAAAAAGTTCCATTGATCTCACTTTGGGTCTCCATATCTACCCATTACCAAGGTCACCCCTGCTGTGCATAATTTCTGATATCTATTTATGCATTTGCATGAGTAAGTAGGTATAAAAACTATCTTTATATAAATATTAATATATTTATTATTATCATATATTAAATATGTAATTATTATATCAAGTATGTAATACTTGAGAGCTTCAATTTTTAATTCAACTTTCTTGTGTTTATATATTTCTGTTTCATTGAATTGCTCTTACTGGCTATGGTACAAATACCTTATAACTTATATAGTACTCTCTATAGCCAGCGATTTCTTTTGGGGCCATCAAGCAGTTCCCAAACCATGACATCTAGACTTATTATTAGTTATGAATAGTCAGCCTTATCTCTTATTTTAATGTTTCTGTTTATCTACATCTTTCCTTGGGGCTATCTATTTACCTTTCTGTATGTCCTACTTTCCTGCTTCTCCTGGCTGGCTTGCTGGGGGCTGCCCTGGATGTGTCCCTTTCTTTCTCAAGAATTTTCTTTTCTCTCTTCTTTTGAGCCTAGATTTCTCCTTCCACTTATTCTCTCACTGCCCACCAACCCCTTCTACTCTGTCCCCCACATAGCTATTAGAAGTTGAGCTTTTTATTAGACTATTCAGGTGTCTTAGGTAGGCAAGGTGAAACAAATGCAGTACATCTTTCCATAGTTAAACAAACACAGCATGAACAAATGTAACACACCTTTACATTTTAACAAAGGTAGCATAAACAAATGTAACACATCTTTACATAGTTCAATATCCCACAGTATAACCAAATGTAAAACATCTTTACATAGTTAAATATTCCACAACAGTTCTCTATATTGTTGTTCCTCATTCCTCTGGATGCAGGACTGTGACCTCAGCTATGGATGAAGCTGGAGCAAGAAAATCATACATTTCTGATGCTCCACATCATTTGCCAGCATGGGCTGCTACTTGTGATATTGATCTTAACCACTCTGACAGGTGGAATCTCAAAATTGTTTTGATTTTCATTTCCCTGATGGCTAAGGATGTTGAACATTTACTTAAGTGTTTCCCAGCCGTCTGAGGTTAGTTAGTCTGTTGATAATTCTCTGTTTAGATCTGTATTAATTTGATTGTTTGGTTATTTAATATATAGTTTCTTGACTTCATTTTATATTTTTGAAATCAGTCCTCTGTCAAAATGAGGGGTTGGTGAAAATCTTTTCACATTCTATAGGCTGCCATTTTTGTCCTATTGACGGTATCCTTTGAGTTACAGAAACTTCAATTTCATGAGTTCCCATTTATTAATTGTTGATTGTAGTGTCTGTGCTATTGGTTCACTGTTCAGGAAGTTGTCTCCTGTGCCAAGGCATTCTTTTTCTTCTCTCAGATTCCATGTAACTGAATTTATGTTGAGGTCTTTGATCCACTTGAACTTGAATTTTGGGCAGGATGATAGATATGGATCTATCTGTAGTCTTCTACACACCAGCATCCAGTTATTACAGCACCATTTGTTGAAGATGCTTTCTTTTTTCCATTGTATAATTTGGATTTTTGGTGTGTGGATTTAGGTCTGCATCTCGATTTTATTTCATTGATCCACCTGTCTGTTTTTATGTCAATACCAGAAGTATTTCATTACTATAGCTCTATAGTACAGCTTGAAATGAGGGATGGTGATACTTCCAGAATTTCTTTTTTTGTACAGAATTGTTTTAGCTATCTTGAGTATTTTTATTTTTTCATTACAAAGTTGAGTATTGTTCTTTCAAAGTCTGTAAATAATTGTGTTAGGTTTTAAAGGGGATTGCATTGAATCTGTAGATTGCTTTTGGTAAGGTGGCCATTTTTACTATGTTAATTCTACCAACCCATGAGCACACTACATCTTCCCATCTTCTGATACCTTCTTCAATTTCTTTCTTCAAAGATTTGAAGTTCTTGCCATATGGGTCTTTCACTTGCTTGGTTAGATTTACATCAAGATATTATGTTATTTGAGGCTATTATAAAGGACATTGATTCTCTGATTTCTTTCTCAGCCTGTTTATGGCTTGTACATAGGAGGGGTACTGATGTACTGATTTTTTTCAGTTAACCTTGTTTCCAGCCACTTGACTAAAGATGTACTTCAGCTGTAGGAGTTTCCTGGTAGAGTTTTTGTTGCCACTTATGTATACTAACATATCATCTGCAAATAATGCTACTTTGATTTCTTCCTTTCCCATTTGTCTCCCTTGGATTTCCTTTAGTTTTTGAGGACCAGCCTCAATGCCCCCTCAGTGTTCTGAGAGAACTCTATGGAAATCAGGGACTTCTACAAAAATCTGAGGGCAAATAAATTGTCCACATGTGCTTTTCTGAGTCATTTTCTTTATTCTACTGCCACAGCTCACTTCTCCTGTCCTAATTCTAATTCCACCTAGCTTCTTCACCTTGCTTCTTCTTTTTCTATTATAAAAACTCTTTTCTTTCAGGAGTCTTGAAGCAATAAAGAAATTAAAAGACTTGTTTCTCCTTGGTCAAGACCACATTCCAAGGGTAATCGATTAGGGAGTTGAATAATTGTCATGACAACACAAGGGTTTCAAGGTCATAAGAGCAAGACCACAACCA